ACTTTCAGGTAAGCTGCGATGTTGCTTGTATGAGATGTCTCAAATTTCTTTTTTTTAATTTTAACTTTATTTTCATTAATTACAGTTTATTCACTTTGTATCCTAGCTGTAGCCCCCTCCCCATTCCCTTCCAATCCCACCCTCCCTCTTCTTCTCCTATGCCCCTTCCCCAGTCCAAAGATAGGGGAGGTTCTCCTCCTCTTCCATATGACCTTAGTTTATCAGGTCTCATCAAGACTGGCTTCATCAAATTTCTTTGGGAAGGCACTTAGAGCTATGCACCTTCCTATTAGCATGGCTTTCATTGTGTCCTGTAAATTTGGGTAAGTTGTATCTTCATTTTCATTGAATTCTACAAAGTCTTTAATGTCTTTATTTCTTCTCTAACCCAGCTGTCTTTAAGAAGAAAATTGTTTTGTTTCGATGTTTGTGTAGGATTTTTGATATTTCTCTTGGTGCTGAGGTCTAGTTTTAGGCTATGGTGGTCTGATAGAATACAAGTGTTCATTTCAATTTTGTTTTATCTGTGGAGGCTTGCTTTGTGCCCAAGTATATGGTTAATTTTGAAGAAGGTTCCATGGGGTGCTGAGAAGAGGGTATACTCTTTTGTGTTTGGATGAAAAGTTCTCTTTACATCTCTTAGTTCCATTTCATTTAGGACCTCTGTGTCATTATTTCTCTATTTAGCTTCTGTCTCAATGATTTGTCTTGTGGTGAGAGTGGAGTTTAAAGTTTCCTACTATTAATTACTTTGAATTAATGTGTGTTTTAAGCATTAATAATTTTGCATTTATGAATGCAGGTGCCCTTTTATTTGACTCATAGATACTCAGGATTGTGATGTCCTTGTGGCTTTTTTTTTTTTTTTTTGGTGAGAATGAATTCTCCCTCTCCACCTCCTTTGATTAATTTTGATTGAATGTCTAATTTATTAGGTATTAGAATGACTATTCCTCTTGCTTCTTGGGTCTGTTTGCTTGGAAAACCATCTGCCAGCACTTTACTGTCAGGTAAAATCTATGTTTGTAACTTTGGTGTGTTTCTTATATGCAAAAGAATCCTGGGTCTTGTTTATACATCTATTCTGTTTGTCTATGACTTCTTATTGGAGAGTTGAGTCCATTGATATTGAGAAAGATTAATGACCAGTGACTATTAGATCCTTTTATTTTGATGTTGGTTTGTGGTAGTGTGTTTACGTCTTGGCTACCTTTAGTTTTGCTATAGTGAAGTTATTCATTTCCTTTGTTTTCTTGCATGTAGTTAGGTTTCTTGGGTTGTGTTTTTCTTTCTAGTATCTTCTCTATAGTTGGATTTGTGGGTAAGTACTTTTTAAATTTGTTTTTTCATTGAGTATCTTTTTTTTTTCCCTCCATCTATGGTTACTGAGAGTTTTTCTGGGTATAATAGTCTGTGCTGACATCTGTGTTCTCTTAAGGTCTACATGATAGCCATCCAGGTCCTTCTAGCATTCATAGACTCTGATGAGTAGTCAGTAACGGGTTTGCCTATAAATTACTTGGCCTTTTTTTCCTTTCAGCTTTTAGTATTTTTTCTTTGTTCTGTATATTTACTCTTTTGATTATTATGTGACTGGAGGATTTTATTTTCTGTTCTAATCTATTAGGTATTCTGTAGGTCTCTTGTATGCTTATAGTCCTCTCCTTGAAATTGGGGAATTTTTCTTCTATGATTTTTGAAAATATTTTCTGGACCTTGGAGAAGGGGAATCTTCGTTTTTCTCTGTTTCCATTATTCTTAGGTTTTGCCTTTTCATGTTGTCTTTGATTTATTGGATGGTCTGCGTCAGGATTTTTTTTTTTTTTTAGATTTAAATGTTTCTTTAATGGATACATTGGTTTCTTCCTTTGTATCTTCCACAAATGAGATTCTTTCTTCTATTTCTTGTTGTCTGTTGAATGTTCTTACCTCTGTAGTGCCTGTATTCTTCCGTATGTTCTCTCTCCATAATTTCCTCAGTTTTTGTTTTAATTTTTCCATTTCTATCTTCAGATCATGAACCATTTTGTTGATTTCCTTTACCTGCCTGTATTTTCCAGCTTTTTCTTCAATTTCTTCACCTGTTTGAACTTTCCTCTTTTCCTTTTCTTTCGATGATTTAATTATTTCCTCTCTAAAATTATCACTATTTGGCTATACCATCCTGTATTTTCTTTCTTTCTTTCTTTCTTTCTTTCTTTCTTTCTTTCTTTCCTTCCTTCCTTCCTTCCTTCCTTCCTTCCTTCCTTCCTTCCTTCCTT